CCTAACCCAGCTGGTGCGGAGAAACCTACCCCAGCTAATACAGAGAAACCTACCCCAGCCAATACAGAGAAACCTACCCCAGCTGGTACGGAGAAACCTACCCCAGCTGGTACGGAGAAACCTACCCCAGCTGGTGCGGGGAAACCTACCCCAACTGGTATGGAGAAGCCTACCCCAGCTGGTACGGAGAAACCTACCCCAGCAGTTATGAATAAACATACCACAGTCGGTACGGGGAGATCTTTCCAAGCTGGTGCGGGGAATCCTACCCCAGCAGGTACGAAGAAACATACCACAGTCGGTACGGAGAAACCTATATAGGCCTATTATAGCATACCCCAGCTGGTACGGAGAACCCCTTCTTTACGGGGAAACATACCCCAGCTTTTGTCGTATGATCTTCCGTAATCATAGGTTTGACTATAAGCATATGGTTTTGTTCTATCACAAGGGTATACATTGTATTGCATTGAGATTGAACATTTTATTTCTTACCGCATATCAAGGTTTATCAAAGGCTGCTTACCCAACTCCTCCAAATTAAAAGCACATACAATCAGGTGTTTTAGTGCAACTCCCAAGAGTAAAACCAACAGAATAAACAACGGAAAATCCATTGATGCATGGTCATGCTCGTTGTATTTTCTCCCAAATTCAAAATGTTTCTCACTGCCACATTAGAGGGAGGGAGTGAAATGTGCAGTTACAATTGTGCGTTTTACCCCCAAACAAAGTTGGGGAGGAAATTATCATTCTCTCAATACATTTTTTTTTTAAACTATCAATATGAATATATATTTCATTTGCTTACTCATTTGTTGCCAGCAGAGTGTTCCAGTCTGCAACCCCTTGGTATGGAGGACGGGACAATCCAAGATGATCGCATCACGGCGTCCAGTATTCGGAGCACTACATATCCAGCCTGGGAGGCACGCCTCAACAATGACAAGGGATGGGCAGCCTCGAGGTAGGTATCAAAGGGAAATACCACACTTGACACTTCACTCTCATATTCACTCTGTATCATTACAATGCCACAAAACGCTCTTGAATGTGTTCAATTAATGAACATCTAATAAGATTTGTTCTATTTTTTTGGCATTGTTTTTCTTTTTTGCAATGGTTCTCCTTTCCATTATCCATCATCCCCGGCCAAAGCCCAACCCGGACTCATGCGTATTTGAATTGCACACTGTAACGAGTTTCAATAATAATATTTGATTTTCAAATCCATTCCACAAGCGGATTTGCGGAGTATTGTTATTTCATTGTTCCTCATCCTCTCTTCACTCTGTGTACAGTGGCGACGCCAATCCCTGGATCGAGGTGGACCTCGTCCAGAGTACAGTGGTGACGGGCGTCATCACACAAGGCGGCTACAGTTGGTATGTGACTGCGTACAAGGTTGCGTATAAGAAGCAGCCCTCATCCGACCGTGAACACGTGACGGATGGAAATGGAAACGTCAAGGTGAACATCAATCTTTACTAAGTCTTGCTGTAAGCTACATTTAACTTTCGTTCGTAAAACAGTTTTGAAAAGAAAATGTAAAGTTTTTTTTTCTTATATTTTGTTTGGGCTTTTATCGCAATATGATAACTTCATTATTTACGACTTTGCACGATTCCATGCTCATGCAACCATTTAGCCATTTAACCATTCAAATTCACCAACTTTATCATTCAATTTCGTCCACGAAAAATTTCACACGCTTAAACAAAACCAATTTAGTCCAATTTAGTCCAGATTTTCGTCCCAAAATAGCAAAACGCTCTGAAGCTGAAACAGAAACTTATGTCTATAATAAGTCAATATGTCTATAACATAGCTGAGAATGATCAGAAAAGTGAGTGCCCACCCAAGACAAGCAGTTTACTTTATATGGTTATTACGGTTTGTTGAAATTCTGTTTCGAAGGAAGACCCCGTCAGCTAAGAATGCCCACTTTTTTTGTAGTTTTGGTCCTAGACTTTACTACAAGTAGGCTATTTTTTATACAAATCTTCGTTTATTGCGTTGGGATTCATTTCAGGTGTTCATCGGTAACACTGATGCCGACACCCCGGTCGCTAACCTGTTTGATGAGAGTGTGGTCGCCACGGTAGTGCGCATTGAGCCTTCTGAATGGCAGAATGGTGGTGCTTTGCGATTGGAGCTGCTTGGATGTCGCCGTGGTTAATTCAGTTGAAGCATTCAGGTGATTCTCTCCGATAGCGCTGACAAAATTTCACTCTATATAAAAGTAAATGCGACGGTAGATGATATTAAGGTTGATAATAAATACCATGCTTTGTAGGAGGAATATTTACACAAAGTAAGGATACACTGAAGATTTAGAATAACCACTACGGACTCTTATGAGTTGTTTTGTCTTTAACTCAAGAAGTTTCTTCGGAAAAAAATATAGGTTTTACCGGCTTTTTTAAAACGTTTGTCGTTCGAATTACTGTTTGTAATATTCAAATCTGTTTATCAACATCGATTAAGTTTAATTTCGTTTAATTTTATGTTCAATTTCGTCTTTTGTCAGACAATTTCAAATTCAGTTCAAGCAAATTGAAACAATAAGCACACACTTTATTCTCGGGTTATTCAATTTTGTCTCATCTACGCCGAAGACGTTATTCAGAAATTCAAATCGTGTGATTGATTTATATAAGACGAATTTGATCTCTGAATGCTGCCATTCGGCAAAAGCTTAGTGATGGCGAATTTTCTCGAGCAGGTGACTAAAGAGGGTGACCAAACTTTGAAATTGAATAGTAAATGACTAAATCGAATTTGATAACGGGTGTGAAATTTTGCCCGGACGAAATTGAGTGTTGGAGTTGGTGAATTTGAGTGCAATATGTTTTAAAATAGCCGGGAAAACCTATACATTAGGGTAATGTTCACAGTTTATATTAAAATTAATGAACCTATTATTGCCAAGTTTCCTACGTGGAATGCAATATAAACAAGATTATCTGAAATTTAAAAAAAAGTCAAAAAAAAGAAAAAAATCACCTAATGAATAGTAAAAGTAAAGTATATATATATATATTTAAAAGTATTTCCACTCTAAACAGAAACGTCTAAACTTTTGCAGTGCTTTGGCTGCATAGTGGTTTTTTTATTGTATATAATATTAAGATTACGCTGTTTATTGTGTTATTATCGTAAATCTTCAATACAATATAGAACGTTTCCATGCAGTGTTCTACATAAATAGATTTGAATTGTTAAAACGCGATATTTCACACACAAAATGAAAAAAATCGAAGTGGCTAGTGGTAAACCATCTTGAAAATTCAAATCTTTTTAGTGATCAAACTTTGAGTTTAAAGGCCGGTTCATACTTTACACATTTGCAACTGCAAAGCGCATTTGACGTAAGGAAAGCATTCGCTACGAAATGCCTTGGTGTTGAAATGTGTTCTTTTGCGAATTCCCGGCAGGAAAAGTTGGCATGACGTCACAAGGTCGCGTTCGCTTTCGTTCCGAGTATGAAATGGTGTTAAATGTAGTCTTTGCTTTATTATGTTTAAGCATGCCATGAACCGATGTATTTTTGCTGTCAATATAAGAAATTGAACTCACGATATCAAATAGTCATATAATAATTTAGGTGAATAGTATAAGGTGTACAGTGTATTGTTGCCGTAATGTAACATTTTTATTGGCATTTGTAATTGTGGTGTTCGATATGGAAAATATTTAAATACAAATACGTGTATACATTTATGTGTAACAAAGTTAATTAATACAGTTTTAGACAATATTTTTTTTCAGTTATATCATTTTGATACGTGATTACTAGGATGTATGGGTCATCAAAATACCCTAATTTCAAACTAAGGGTCAATTTGTATTAAGAAGAAAACTACATGAGTATTGACACATAAAGCGTTATGTTCATTTGATGCCGAGCTGCCGTGACAAGAAGCTAAGAGGAAGCAATCTTTATCTCATTGAAGCACATACTTACCAATATTGTGCAATTATAATTCAAATGATTGTATACGCTTTGTGAATATGAACATGCTTGTGAAATAAAAAAAAACCCATAGAAACATTCACTCGTTTAATTTGTTAGTTGATCAGTTGATGTGCTTTGCGTATTAAAAATGACGTGTACAAAACGACTTGCTGCCTGTCCATATTTGATTGTAATGATTAAATACATCAGAAATGGAGAGAAGAAAATCCCACCTTGTACTTCTATCCGCGTATTTAGCAAAGTCTCGTAATCAAGGTACCGTTATCGTCTGTACCAACTTTATTTTACGACCAGAGAGCGCCTAGCAACACTGACCCATTCCTATAGAACCCAACGCCCCATCCTATACAATACTTTTGTTGTTTTGCTCTGTTTACTAGCTGTTTGTATATAATTTAAAGGCAATAAGGCCCTGAGACAAGGAGCTTAAAGATCGCAGTTTCAGTATCATAATCACCGAGCCAAGTGTACACATCGGATCACGACGCTCCGTTAAGTTGTATCTGTACCGGCTAGGATGTATTTATGCATGTATTCTATGGGCAAATGACTCTTTAGGCTTCCCTTCCATTGTCACGTCACGAAGAGGTTTGATTTAATTTTTCATATTTCCATCCCTTCTGACTCGTAGGGCGTATCCTATCAACACTGCCTTGAACTTTGTAGGCACAATACATGTATCTTCATTGTAATATCTTTAATATTACGGCCCTCTCGACAGTGTTGGAGTCAAGACCTCAGAGTCCTAGACCGAGACCAAGACCGAGACCTCATAGTCCGAGACCGAGACCAAGACCGAGACTAATTCCCCATTCGAGACCGAGACCGAGACCGAAACCTCATAGTCCGAGACCGAGACCTCATTTTAAAATAAATAAATAAATAAGTAACATGCGAGGGCGCACTCAATCCAAGATGGCGGCGCCCATGTTCCGTGAAAACTTTGAGGACCGAAATAAAAACGTAAAATCACTCAGCTTCAATCCTACTGAAGTCAAAGCTTGCCGCCACCTTCCGCCTGATGACTAACCCGAGCATTGCAATGCTCATACCAACGCTGTTGTACTTGGGAGTGGATGTGATGTTAATGGGCGGCCATTTTACAAAGGTGGGTTTGAACTCTTGATGGTAGCAGACATGCCGATAGACTGGTTCCTCGACCTGACAATTTCCCCCGACGTCCACACGTCTAAATTGTAGGTCAGGCAGCCTCCGTGGCTAAAAATAAACCGGCATGACGACATTGACGGCCTTTTTTTCAAAGCTCGGCTTCGTTTCCGAATTTGCTTTATCACTTAAAGCTTTTAATGTTCCTATCAAATTTTTAAAATAAATCACTTGCTTCATATATCATACAGATGATAATACAGTTTGATATTTCTGTAAGAAAACATTGACTAATGTTGACCTGGGATCTTGAAAATTAGGCACCCAAATAGCACTGTTAGCAGGCGGAACCGAATGAAGACCGAGTTTTGGAAAATCTCAGTAACGGTCGTCAAATTTAAAATAGTACATGACGAAGCAAAAAGTTCGCGCATACGATCCGATCGATGCACAAAATCGTCGTTGAATTTCAAGTTTTCTAAATAAAAGCAATGAATATTAATTATCAACTCATTAAAAAAAGTTTTTAATAAGCAATAAACAGTTAATTAAAACATATTATACTTGGAAATACTTGGGCGCTATCCGATTGTCGACAAAATTCGGCAAACTTCGGACATTTTCGTAAAAAGGAGGAATTCCTCCCGTTTTAGTCACGTGACATAAATTGTAATACATGTACAATGTATTACCGGAGGCTACCTGACCTAAGATTCATCAGAAATAGTCAGAATCGTTTGGTCTGGGAACCAGACTAACATGCCGAATGATCACGCCTGCGCACAACCGAAAGATTCACCGAAACAGGCTTGGATTTATCGGTTTTACATGTTGTGCAAGTTGCCAACCAAATTAAAACTAACCACTGCAAAAGTTAAGTTAGACGTATGGTGACTTGAACCTCAGCATGTATATAGACCCTGTAGATAGGCATTTTGTAAATCAAATAGTGTATTGATTCCGTTATTGCAGTGGTCTGAAATTATCTGCTCGTATCCACTAACTTTGGTCACATAGTTTTTCGTTGGTTGCACACGAGGGATCGAGGTTGTCGGCTACGTCATGATGGGCAGTTCCGTCTCCAGCTGCATCTCATCCTTCCTGATTGGTCGGCTGATGAAGTGCGTCAGCAGGTTTGCACTCTTCATCGTTGGGGGCGCTACTTACCTGCTGGTACTAGTTTTCATGTTGGTCTGGGACCCTGACCAGGGCAGATTGTGGCATCTCGTTCTGATGGCTGTGGCGGTTGGCTTTGCAAGAGCAAGCATTGCTACGATAAGCTCAAGTAAGCCATCGCAAATCAAATTACGAGTCATTCACAAGTCACAGTCACAAGTCGATCACAAGTCAAATACAATTAACACTAAGTCAATCACAAGTCACAACACATGTCATTCACAATATACATCACGAGTCAATCAAATCACAAGTGACATCAAAAGAATCACAGTCAATAAAAAGCCAAATCACATGTCGATCACAGAAAGGTGACAGTGAATGAACGCTGATATATGAAGGAATGTGTCACCGATTCGGGATTGCTTAATCGTCCCTTGACTTGGGACTGAATGACTTGTGAAAAACGTGATTGACCCATGATTTGACTTGTGATTTGTTGACCTGTGATGAATTGTGATTACTTGTTTAATCTCCTTGACTTACAGTTTCTGTAACCTTACAAATTTAGGTTCACATTTTGAGTCGAAACGACTGTACATCTTTGATCTTTATTGTCATTTTTGTATATAGCTCTTTTGGGAATGCTGTTTGTATGTCAACAAGAGGCAGCGTTCGGCAATCTGTGCTTCTGGCAGTCCCTGGGCGCCGCCGCCATATTGGCCCTTGGTATCCCACAATCCATGTGTGCCTACCACGTGATCTCAATCGTCATATGCATCCTCGTGTTCGCCCTGGGCATGTACTGTTTGCTGGAGCTGCGATTGAAGCGAGAGCGGACACCAGGCGAGAAGAAGCCCGAGAAGAAGGCTGAGGGGAAAGAAATGACGACAGAAATGTTGGCTATTGCAGAGCCGACCAACAACGAAATATCAATCGACTGATGACATGTAGAGATCCCTATCATACCTATGAACCTATCCAGGGGCTGTCTAGTATGCAGCTTTTACCACGAGCCGAGGTTAGCACCGGTGACTCGCGTTGCGCGCGCAGAATGCATATTTATGAATCATGGCGGTAAAGGTACTCATAATGCTTCCCGTTCATTTTTGTTTTTGAATGAAATGAGTCGCCCCGATCACCATTCGATAATACAGTTGGTATGAGCAGCATAACAGCATACATCGAAAAGCTCTTTGTGCAAGAATTCGTTTCAGTTGAAAATTGAAACAAATATGTTTTTATATTTAAAAACCAAACATAATTATCAACATTAAGTGACTCCAATTTACAAATGTAGCTTCTGTCAAGCTGATTATAGCATGCTGTATTCGTTTTCAAATTTTACATTTTAAACTTTTTGAAATTATAGTTTAATTTATTTACTGCAACACAGTGATTGTTATTTTTTAAATTATCAAATGTTTACTACAACACGGTGACTGTTAAAGTTCAAGGGGCTCTCGAAAGTGTTGCAAAAAGCGCCCTCTCTTGTTCATGCACGGAGCCCATAAAGCATCAAATCATTTTATTGTAGAGTTTCAGGTAAATTACTGGTGGCGCTGTTTACAGTGGAGACATGGGTCAGCGTGAGGTCAGCATGCACGCACAAGCAGGCATCGCTGTCATGCGCGTGCGCAGGCAGTTGCATGCCGTGCAGATATGGAGTGTAGCAACCTCGTCTACAGTGCTTACTTTATTTCCAACCGCGTTTCCAATAGTAAACCCTGGATAGGAAACTTTCTTCCTGTATCCAGATTGGATACCGCAATTGGCTAGTAATGGATTTTTATCGTGTACTTGGTGCAATATATTCACAACGTGCAGTACGTGTTTTCGCAATCATTCGTCCACGCCTTCTCGAAAATACTAATTTCCTTTCCAATTTGCTCATATTAATATGAAATATGATACTGCATGTTGTCTTGATAAGATCGTAACAATTTGATTTCAAAAATCGTGTTTTCGTAACTCACGCCGTGCTCGCGCTGCTACGAATTGACTCTGTTTTTACCCCAGACACCGCATACGAAAACAAACGCATATCTAGGCACCAGACTGTTCCTCATTTGCATACGTGTGCAAAAATCTTGCACATGCAAATGATCCAATACCAGAGTGAGAGAGCAGGTAGTAGTGGGCGCGTACTGCTCGACACCCTGAGGACGAGGTTGGGAGTGTAGTGGATCGTTCACGGCCGGCCGGCTGGCTCCATGAAACTCGAGGCTCCAGATTCGAGTGTTGTTCAAGATTACTGAGGTAAATCTCAAATTATTACACTGACTAATTGTTCTGAGGAAGTGATTACAAGCCATTTAGACATTGGAATGTTATGTGATTGCCACCAAGTTATTTTGTCTGTCCTTTTATTAAATAAAATTGAACCCCGAAAACAGTACACCCTACAATATTATGAGATGAACTGTTATCACTTTATTTTAAGCAAAATTGCTCTTAAATTATTCATTTGCAAGAAAAAAAACCACTCAAATTCTGGTTAGAAGTTATTTTCCCTGGCACAATTTGAGTTCTCCTATAATATGTCCAATTTCCTCATCATTGTACATGTACGATTACGTCCCTGTGCTGTATGTGCCGGCAGCTTAGGGTATATTTATGCACAAAGTCTATGGGCAAATGGCTCTAGAGGCTTCACCGCCAACATTTCGTATTCCAATGCCTTCTGACTCGTTCGGCTTCTGTCAATACTGCCTTGACAATCAGAGGCAAACTACATTAATTGCAATATCTGTAATATTACGGCCCTCTCGATGCGTATCGTTTTCTAAAGGTTCGTTGTATACACGGTTGTGTAATTATCTAGACCAACCTTGATTGCTGCTGAGGATTCTATGTTCATTACCGGAAGCCGCTTCCGCTCCTACGCGCTGCCGCAGCGTTTCATATCAATTCGTTACTGTTTATGACCACGATGGTCTTTATTGTTCAATTTCAGGACGATATTTTGTTAATTTCAAGACGCTATTTTGTTAAAACTGGAAACTGTAATTACAACGTGATACGCATATTGTAAGATTGAACAAATCATAAAAGTTTAAGCCTTCGTGGCAAGTTCAGGCTCGTTCGTGATTGGCTATAGGCTTGCTATGACGTCAGCCTGTTCGTGGCCTGCGGCTGCTTAGGTGCTGAGGCGACCGAGTGGCGTTTTGTACTCGATTATTTATACGATCAACACTAACGGAGTCTCGATCATTGCGTCAATCAGGTTTGGTCTTAGTGGTCAGGCTCTTTCCTGATCGTCGTTCAGTAATCTACATGCGTAGCTGGTGTGGTGTCTGTGTCGTTCATTGCATTAATCAGAGAGAGGTTCCAGTAAAGTGTTAAGTCGAGGCTCTTTTCCCATTGTTGTTCAGTAGTCTACGTGCGTAGTTACCTTTTTTATAATTCGCGTTGGTGTGTGAGTCGTTAAATACATCTCAGCGGATTGTGCTCAGAATTCACCTGCATCTTGGACAATGAACGGAGCAGCAGCTTTTGTTCTGATGTTGTCAGCAATGGCAGGTAAGATTTAATAATCTATCACCTTGAGTACGTCGATCCTCCGACTGCCAATATCAGACAAGCTTAGCTAGATCAGGATCGGGGATACAATGTGCATCTCTCCCATTTATTTTTCAACATGAAATCCCAAGTTGCAATAGTCGTTCGCCATTGAATTTGTTGATTTGTGTCGGTTTGACAAGAAATAATTTGTGTATGTTTATGGTCACCGGCATAACCGTTTAAACAGAACGTTATATTGATAAATTAAACGGCGCGTTGAAACAGAAAGAATTGGAAACGAAACGGCGGCCGCTACATATATTACCAGTTTGTAACCACGGAAATGAAAAATTGAACTGGTAACATATACATAGATTTTAGTGTTAAGATTCTAGTATGATTAACCTTATCAAGATTGACCCTGTCAAGTCCCTTCGGGCTAGCGGAGGTATTGTGTCCTCATCCTTATTTCCAAGTACGTCAGCCGATTTTTCTAGAATTGAGCAATAATGTTGGTTGGCAAATAATCCAAAATATAACCTCACTTGTTAGCGCGACGGTGACTTCAAAAGGGCACGTCGTTTCATTTTGGATAAATTCATTTATAATTTTGACATTTTTGTTCAAATTATTTAAAATTCTGTACAAACATTTTTTTGGGGTCTTTTATGGTGGTCCAGAAGCCCAACAGAATAGAAACAAAGCTGATGGAACGTTTTGTTAAAATGCATTTCTACTTTTCTGCTTTTCTGAAGCAAATTCAATGTTTTGCTGAAATTCATTGCCTTTCTGACAAAATGTTTGATCTGCTTTTCTGGCAGCAGAAAAGCCAGTGAAGGACTAACGTTAAGCGTATTTTTCTGGTACATGTATAGCAGAATATCAGAAAAGTAGAAAAATTCGGTTTAGCTAAACTTTCATTCTGCTTAATTTCTGGTAGCAGAAAATTGGTAGCAGATAGTCAGAAAATGAGAAAACCCATTTTAACAAAACTTTCAATCAGCTTTTCTGCTATGAAGTGGTTTATACCGTCAGCGTGCTAAATGCAAAGAGGGCTTAAATCACTGGAAAACCGCTGCTACTCCCAATCCGCCATAAAGCAACAAGAATTCACATCATGCCAAAAACGAAAACGTTCGGAAGGACATTTTGTCAGACGTCCTTCAAACATTTTGATGGAACAAGTTTGAAAATATTATATCAAATTGCGTTTTAGGACACTTTTCATACAAATAAGGTGTTTGAGAAAGTACGATATTTTGTTAAGTCTCCTTACATGATGCACGCTTTGACAAACCCCATTCCCATCTCTACTCCGGCTCCGTCGTCCAACACATCAACTGGTTCCCGTAGTGGGTGCATCTAATATTTAAGAGAAAAATTACTCGAGACTTGTCTTGACTTGAAAACAATTTACTTGAGACTTGACTTGCTAAAATCTGAACTGGGACTTGACTTGACTTGGAAAAAAATTGACTTGGTTACAACTCTGTCAGTATACTTTATTCACATGTCGACCATATCAAATTCAAAGCTAAGTAAATTCTTCAGTTTTTAAACTTGAAGGTAGAAATGAAAGATTCATTCCAAATTGCTCTGATGAATCATTAAAAAAAAAATAATTAAACATACCCTTATGTTTTAAGCTAGCTTTAAAATAAATGAAATTGAAGATGGGACGCCAAATAGAGTATTCTGGCACCATCTTATTCAACTGTTTACAATTTGTGAAATAGAGTCGGGGAACATGATCGGAAATGGTTTCCTCGGATCATGAATAACGTCTGGTCTGATTCCCTGACCTGACAATTCCGTCCGGAAGTCTAGAAATTGTAGGTCAGGCAGCTTCCACCGGGCTTAAAATAAACATATGGCGGCCTATTTTCAAAGCCTCGTTACCGCTTTGACATTAACAGCTTTTAATGTTTCGATCAAAGTAAAAGAAAAACTTGCATCATATATCATAAAGTTTGATATTTCTTGAAGAAAAATTGACTAATGTTGAGCTGGAATCTTCTAGTTAGGGACCCAAATAGTGGACGAAGCCGAAATGAAGACGAAGCCGAGTTTTAGAATACACGTACAGGTGACCGTTGTCAGATTCCACAAAGTAAATGACGCAGCAAAGCTCGCCCTCGCATTGTATGAGTGCATACTTGATGCACAAAAACGTTGTGGAATTTCAAGGCTTTTTATGCAAGCAATGAATATTAATTATCAACTCGTCTTAAAAAAATGCAATATGCATGGCAGATAACTCCTTTTACCAATTCACGATGAAAGGTTTTATACTCAGCCTGGAAGGGGATATTCGATCTGAGTCTGTTGCATATGATGATTGATGGGTGGGTCATCGGAGACAGCATGTCTGGTTATTAGGGGGCCTGACCAGGCATCCAGGGGGGCACAGGAATGCCATCACATCATCATCATCATAAAT